TTTTTGTTATTGGATCCAAAGATGCCCATGTATCACCGATATGGAAATGGAATCTGAAGATGAGTTATACATCATTTGATAGAGTATTAAATTCTCTACAAGTTGATGTATAACTCATGTCTGGGCAATGGATCGTGTGGTGCACAAATTGATTTTTTTTCAAAATTATGTGTTTTTATTTCGTCATGCTAGCTTCACACTGATTTATTTTGTATTGGTTGCTAAGTGCTGCCATTATGGTTGCGCAAACCCTCAAAAGGGTGTTTTTTATTATTGTAATTTTTTCATTGGTTGATTTTCATATCCAATGAAATTTTTTTCTTCGTCGTGCTAGCTCGTCGCGTCGTGCTAGCTTCACATCGATGATGTGGATTCGATGTCGGTGTGGGGTGGGTGTGGCTTTAGATGTGCATGTGGGCTGTCGGTAGTCTGTGCTTCAAAGAGAGAAACTATGATGATCTGACACCAAGGGGACGGGGGAGGGGGAGTTTGAGTGTCGATCTACAAAAGCTCCCACTACGCGTTTCGATCAGGTTTAATAGATCTCGTCAGATGCCTTAGTATCTCTAAGGGTGTGGATGTGGATGTGAGTATGGGTGTGGGTGTCGGTGTTGGTGTGAGTATAGGTGTGGGGTGTGAGTATGGGTGGGGATGTGGGTGTGGGTATGGGTGTGGGTGTGGGTATGGGTGTGGGTGTGGGTGTGGGTGTGGGTGTGGGTGTGAGTGTGGGTGTGGGTGTGGGCGTGGGTGTGGGTGTGGGTGTGGGTGTGGGTGTGGGTGTGGATGTGGGTGGGTGTGGGTGTAACCTGTGGATGTGGCTCGGTTGTGACTGGGATGAAGTAGGAGAACAAAAATCTACGCTCACACCCACATGCACACCCACATCCACACCCGTACACACCCACACCCTTTGGTCACGTTCCACATGAAACGTAAGTCACAGTGAAAAAAAATGATCATATCATCGATGAAGATGTTGATTTTTTCCCTTTAATTTATTTTTGACGATTATAGCTTCAATTTCTACCAGACGTAGTTCGCCATTAAGTGACTACTAAAAATAAATTCATACCTGATATGATAGAAGAATAAGAAGAAAAAAGCTTGTTAGCGCAGCTCCAAAGGAGCTAAAATGTGGAACTCACGTATATCTTTGAAATTTATTATCCTGATGTCTCATTTTTAAACTAGAAAGCAGGTTTTTTTTAGTATTTATGAAATCCGAGATATATTATATTGAGATTAAACTTTTCCGTATGGTTGCTGAGGTCTGTAATGGTGGGGTGTCTGTAATTGGGGGGAGGGGTTATGTCTGTAATGTTCTCTTTCTCATTACTATGTATCTGTAAGGGGGGGGGGGGGAGCCGCAAAACCTCGAAAAGAAAACTTACACTCACTATTTTCTTTGAAAACATGCATGAGTTCCACAAAACAAACATGCGCCGAGTATATATATATAAACAGACTGCATTATATTTGTGCACATAGCAATGTAACATATTCACCACACTTAGCTATCGATCAAAGAGCAGCTGTAATCTGTAAAAAGAAGCGAACGACGAAGATGACATATCGCTGAAAACTACTTGGTCATGTGGGTACATGGAAGCATTAACATGGCGAAGAAAGACTGTCAAAAGACACTCACGAAATTATGCGCAGTTGTCAACGAAGTCAATCTGTGGATTATAAGGGTGCGGGTGATGGTGTAATTGTGTGCGACTCTTCTCTCACCGATACATCCACGTCCCACACTCATATCTACAATGCTACAATCAGTCGTTGAGCCGACTTGAAATTTCTTGTATCTGATGCGTTATCATTTATAAGCGCAGAAAAAAACCAAATCAAAACAAATCACTGTTCGTTTTAATTGAATAGAAAAGGAGTTTATATTAATTTTTGACGACCACGTACTTTTCAAAGCTCAAGGAAGCACAAAATATAATTGAATAAAAAAAGAAATCAGTATTAATCTTTGAAAAAACAATCACTTTGCAAAATTTAAGGAGATGAAATATGATTGAATAGGAAAGAAATCGCTACCAATTTTATTCAACAACTCAAGCTATCTTTAACAGAAAGAAGATATAATGAATTGTTATTTCAGTTGTTCACGATTTTATATATATTCAAAGATAAGAGCAAAGAAATGTATCCACAATGATGTCTTAACTTTCGAGCGATGCTCTTATTTTGTAACAAATAAGGTTTAATTAGGGTCCAGTCTGACTCACATAAAAAAACATAACGAGAACTCGAGTCTTTGTGTGTTTTATCCGAAAAATGGATGAATGAAGATCCATATCATGATTTTTCTTATGCCAGACTATGCTGGTGCAAGTCATGATGTAGAACTTTTCAAGTGTAGTTTATTTTCAAAGGGAAAAAATAGAGGACAGTTCTGATGACTAGAAACGACGGCAAAAGTACGTTCCGGGAAGATATTACAAAATCTGTGAGCTTCACATACAAAATACACGAGTCACTATTTTCAGTGTAAAATAACGAATCTTTTGGTAAATCAACACGCGAGACAACAGAAAATGTGTCTGAAAAGATTAAAAATCATCTTAAAACATAAAAAGTATCAGTGGTCCATGCAGATCCACTTGATTTGTCTTGTGTAAGAGCTATTCATGAAGATTGATGCAGTTTTTATGTATCGTTAGAAGACCAACGATTCGAAAAGAGATGACTTAAAGAAGGATAAGTTTTAATGTAGCAGAAAATGAAAAACAGTGTTTTATGTTCGACCAGATCCACAAAAGCCGTGCGAGACTTAATACCAATTTCTTTTCTATTTGATTACATTTTTGTGCTTGGGAACTTTGAAACATGCCTGTTCTTTAAAGATTAGTATCAATTTCTTTTTTATTCAATTAATATTAAGAATTGATCCTTTTAATTGTTTTTTTTCTGCGCCTATAAATAACAACGTGTCTGCCATAAGAAACTTCATTTCGATTCAACGAAGAATTGCATCTCTGCAAATTGAAGATATGTGGACAACATGCCTACTATTGATCTTTTTTATCAGGTAAGCAGTATCGTTTCATACTTATTATTCGAATACTAATATCCGAATCAATTTTAGTGTTTCAGGTAAGTTTCATTAGTTAGAAATGTATGCTCAAAATATTCGATAAATAGTATATCAAGTCAAGGGGCAGACATGTCGAGGCGATTATCAATATGATCGATGCTCAACGAATACTGAATGTGGCTGTCTTCCTATGACCAATACAAAAAACGGTGGCATATGTGCATATCTATTTTGGAGATGTTCTGAATTAGAATTCTGTGAGAATAATAATAGAACTTGCCGCCAACCTGGCCATATATGTGTAATGCATTCACAATGCAACAACCAACCTGTGTGCTATCCATTAGAGATGTCCAGTCAATATTTATGTCCACCCTTGCCACCAACACCAACACGTAAGATATTCGAAGGGTAGAATTGTTGGTTTTGTGTTTTCTTATTATCAACTAGCTACTCTTCGGCCTTATTTTAATCAGAGTCTGTCAAAATTCTAACACCTACACAAGAAACTATTTTTTTCATTTTAACAGCACTACCACGTGCCGCTCATATTTGTTCTAATGCTACGTGGACATCGAACGGAGTCATTGTAGCTGGCGGTGGTTGGGGTATAACGAATGACAAATTAGCTTATCCATGCGGTTTGGATGTTGATGATGAACAAACTGTCTATGTTACTGACTTGCATAATCATCGTGTTATGGTATGGAAGAAAGGTGCAACAACTGGTGAAGTAGTCGGTTTTTTTTCGTCCCCAACAGATGTGATCATCGACAGGAAGACAGATAATCTTATCATTTGTGAAAGTAGAAATCGACGAGTGGTGCGACAGTCTCGCCTTAATAATATAAATAGACAAACAATAATCTCGAATGTTGACTGTTTTGGCTTGGCTTTGGACGATAAAGGAGCTCTCTATGTTTCTGACACAAACCAATCTGCTGTTCGACGATATTATCCGGAACAATCTTTAGGAGAAGTAGTGGCAGGAGGTAATGGACAAGGCAATCGTCTCGATCAGTTAAATACTCCATTCTTCATATTCGTCGATCGGGATTATTCAGTATATGTAGCGGATGTTCAAAATCATCGTATAATGAAATGGATGAAAGACGCAAAAGAAGGTACTGTAGTAGCTGGTGGTCCAGGATCGGAAAATGATCCAGTACGATTGTCGAATCCTCGAGGAGTCATTATCGATCAGTTGGGCAATATGTATGTGGCTTCCCATTGGAATTCTGCAATAAAACGTTGGAAAAAAGAAGCTACTCGTGCAGACATTATTATTCATCAAAATGGCGAAGCGGTATCGAATCCACTGACGGGCCCTCATGGTATTGCATTCGATCGTCGAGGAAACCTCTTTGTCGCCGATCAGTGGACGTGTACAGTGTGGAGATTCGATATCGATAAAAGCTTGTGCTCGTAATCCTTTAAAAATTGATTTTTATGAAATGAAGCTTTCTATTTCTATTTCGAAATAGCATTGAATTAAATAAAGAAATGGAGATATATCTGATAACAAAATTAGTATGGCTGAATGATTACGCAAAAAATAGTATCAGAATATTGACATGTTTCTGCCGGTTCTTTTCTACTTATCACAGTCCAAAAGTAGCAAGAGTACCATTTTAATATCACATACTAGGATGTGCGTGTAGGTATGGGTATGTCTCTTGTCTTCTTTGACAACCACACCCACACCCCACACCCCACACTCACACCCACACCCACACGCCCCCCCCCACACCCCCCCCCCCCACCCCCCCCCCACCCCCAC